AAAAAAAAAAAAAAACAATTAGTTGAATGAATGATTCATTACCCTGAAATAACTGTTATTAAAATTTTTGCATATAATTTTGGCTTAATTATCTGTACAGTTGAGATTACACAATATATAAACTGTTCATGACATGTTTTTCCATGTGGTTATATCATAAGCATGTCATCATGATCTTAGAAACTTCTTGTATATAATTTTCCTGCCATATAGTTTCTTTAGGATAACATCTTTTGGTACAGTGACTTTCAGACTTTTTGATGGCAAACTCCACAAGAATAAATACATTACATGTAGAACATACTTACATGTGTATTTGCTTATTGTCTGTCCTTAGTAAGGTAAGAGATTTGTCTGTTTTTATTCATGGCTGTAACTCTATTGTTTAGATATTGCCTGGCACAAAGTAGGTGCTCAATGTTCATTCAGTGGGTAATGAATGAGTAAATGGATGATTCTAAAAGGCAAGAAGGAAGGTTTACAGAACAATACTTGCAGTTGCTTTGTGTGACACCCTCTATTTTCTTTTGTATTCTAATTCAATTTTCTATTCCAGGTCAGAAATATTTTCCATTTAAATTCTTATTGTGACTCACTATATTGACTTTATGCCTGCTTGTGATTTGTGACTTGAAAAACACTTTAGTTTGCCCCTAGGTTTTCACAATTGTGAATAAAATTGTGGGTTTTGATTACAGCTCAGATTTTGTCCTTAAGAGAGGTGGCAAGGCAAATGATTGGGTCAAATGCCATATGTGCCTGTTTAAGACTTTTTTTGAGACAGTTCTGTTGCTCAGGTTGGAGTGCAGTAGCACAACCATAGCTCACTGCAGCCTGGAACTCTTCCTGAGTTTAGGCAATCCTTCTTCCTCAGCCTCCTGAGCAGCTAGTACTATAGGCATGGGTCACTATGCCCTATTAATTTTTAAATTTTTAGTAGAGATGGGTCTTGCTATGTTGCCCAAGCTGATTTCAAACTTCTGGCTTCAAGCAATCCTCCTACCTCAGTCTTCCAAAGTGCTGGAATTATGAGCATGAGTTGCTGGTGGCTGGCCCCACTTAAAATTCTTGATACACATTGCCACCATGCATTCTAGAAAGGTTATTTTCCTACTAGTAATATATTGCTGTCCTGTCAGCCTATTTTTAAAAATGCTTCTTTCACTTTTTTAAAAGCTTGATTACATATAGGAGAATATTGTTTCTGAACTGTATGCTTCACGGTCTAATGGGGGAGAATGAGATAAATCAGTGTCTTAATCCTCATTTACCTCTTTCAATTTCTTGGACACTATATCAAAAGCTCATGAAATAGTATTTGTATTACAGTGTCTTCCTTGTTTGTGTTCTTTTCAGATTCAGGAATTGTGGGGCTTCAGCCTGTCAACTTTGTCCCAAATGCTCCCCGACATGCAGTAGATGGGAGACAAGAGGAGATTCCTGTGGTCATTGCTGCATCTGAAGATAGACTTGGGGGGGCTATTGCAGCCATAAACAGCATTCAGCACAACACTCGCTCCAATGTGATTTTCTACATTGTTACACTCAACAGTACAGCAGACCATCTTCGGTGAGCTTGGCTTGCCTGATGATTCCGCTTCTAGAGGATGCTTTAGAGCAAGCCAGCTGTCCATCCAGGAACTGTTTTTCTATATTATATATAGTTTTATACAGTTGAGATTAAACCACATATAAGCTGCACAAATGACGTGTATCATAATATATCCCCATGATAGCAGAAATTATAATTAGACCAGAAAGTAAATCCATTGTGTCACTATGGAGTGTTAACTCTATCTGATGTTTTGGTAGTATGACTTTTTCAGCGCAGGGGAAACAGTATGTTTATTTACAAGTCACAAGCTCCTAATCGCGTGGACATGCTCTGAATAGTTCTGGTCTAGAGTAGGAAGAGATTTAAGAATAATGGTAAGGTAGTGTGGTGAAGTTGTGAACGTAGATCCTGATCCAAATCCTAGCCCTGCATGATTGTGGGAAACTTGGAGTCTACTTCTTAATCTATAATTATGGGGTACAAATATCCAGCTTATAAGATTGTTGTCAAGTAAATGAGAAAATATAAAAAACACCTACCACATAGTAATTGCCTAGTAAATGGTCATTACTATTTTATTTTATTTTTTTTTTGAGTTAGAGTCTCGCTCTGTTGCCCAGACTGGAATGCCGTGGCCACTCCCAGCCACCGCAGCCTCGACCTGCTGTGCTCCGGCGATCCTTCTGCCTCAGACTTCCGAGTAGCCGGAATTACAGGCGCGCACTACCACGCCCGGCTGATTTTTTGATTTACTGTAGAGATGAGGTCTCGCTGTCCAGGCGGGTCTGGAACCCGCAGGCTCAGGCAATCCACTCACCTCAGCCTCCCAAAGGCACGGGATTACAGGCTGAGCCACCAAGCCCGGTGGTCATTACTATTTTAAATGTGATAAATAGAAACCCAATCCGAGGGACAGCCTAATCCATGTTTTGAAAATGAATTAAGACAAAGTTTATTCCAAGAAACAGCTTGCCTTTATCAGTCTATGGGACTTCAGTGGCAGAATTCAATTTATAAATAACTATAGATTACTTTGTTGGTGATTAGCTTTCATTACCATCATACTTTGACTCATTTTCTTCACCTGTATATTTAGATGGGTAAGAATTGAATTGAATAGTCCAGGCCAGGCATGGTGGCTCATGCCTATAATCCCAGCACTTTGGGAGGCCAAGGTGAGAGGATTGCCTGAGCCCAGGGGTTTGAGACCAGCCTGTGCAACTTGTCTCCACAATAAATAAAAAATAATTAGCTAGGTTTGGTGGCGCACACCTATAGTCCCAGCTACTTGGAAGGCTGGGGCAGAGGGATGGCCTGAGCCCAGCAGGTCAAGGCTGTGGTGGTTGTGAGTGGCTACTGCACTCCAGCCTAGGTCATAGTGAGACTCTAACCTAAAAAAAAAAAGAAAAAGAAACCAAGGCTCAGAGAAAGAGAGAAAGAGGTGAAAACACCTCTTCGGTCCCTAGGGTTTCTTACGTTTTCTTAGGCCTTTGTTAGTTTGGAGATCTTATTTAAAACTGAAATTTGATTATTTTTATCAGGTCCTGGCTCAACAGTGATTCCCTGAAAAGCATCAGGTACAAAATTGTGAATTTTGACACTAAACTTTTGGAAGGGAAAGTAAAGGAGGATCCTGACCAGGGGGAATCCATGAAACCAGTGAGTTCCATGCATCCTTGTTTGTACTTGGTAGTATTAGGAAATGATTGGAACACCTGGATAACTGTGGGTACAGCGCAAGTAGTTCCCTGGTAATAAACCCTGGGTGGTTTGAGTCCTTTGGCTCATTTCTCCTGCATGAATACTGAGAGCATTCTAGGAGTTTCTATGTAATAAAAGCACAGCACTGCAGTGTCCCTATGCCAATAATTCTTTCCTTTTCCAGTTAACTTTTGCAAGGTTCTACTTGCCAATTCTGGTCCCCAGTGCAAAGAAGGCCATATATATGGATGATGATGTAATCGTGCAAGGTACCAAAGAATGTCAACATGAGTGCTGTTCTCTGTCCAAATTGTGGGCTGTAGTGGTTTTATTTATGGTCTCCTATAAAAGGACATTATAGGGAGAAGTGGGAGGGACAGGGAATCTCAAGGCAACTGGAAATGTACATCTTAACCGCTTCAGGTGATATTCTCACCCTTTACAATACACCACTGAAGCCAGGACATGCAGCTGCATTTTCAGAAGACTGCGATTCGGCCTCTACTAAAGTTGTCATCCGTGGAGCAGGGAACCAGGTAAAATGCTTACTGGAAACCCCACTTTCTATAATATTGTTCAGTGGGATCAAGTAGCAAATTCAAGCAATGTTTACTTTCTTGCTGCGACTTACATTCCCCATTTTATGCCAAAATTCAAGCCTGCTTTTCTTACTTATTCATGGACTTGACAACTTGGTTCTCCATGAACATCTGGTTTAATATATCAAAGTCTAGGTTTCCATTCTAACTTGCAATCTCAAATATCACTTTTATTTGCTAATAATCTGAGGTCAGTTTTACTAGCTAGCAGACTTTTGCTTTACTGGCTATGAAGTTTTATCTGTTGTTTGAAGCAGCAAATACATATACATATATGTACACCATTTTTGTTTTTAGTACAATTACATTGGCTATCTTGACTATAAAAAGGAAAGAATTCGTAAACTCTCCATGAAAGCCAGCACCTGTTCTTTTAATCCTGGAGTATTTGTTGCAAACCTGACAGAATGGAAACGACAGAATGTAACCAACCAGCTGGAAAAATGGATGAAACTCAATGTAGAGTAAGTATATAACTGGTCTAGCTATTAAAACTCCTGTATTTTACCCCTGTGAGTCTTGAGAGTGAGTTGGAACTTTTCACTAACATGTTATTTGTTCCAAGAGAGGGACTGTACAGCAGAACACTGGCTGGGAGCATCACAACACCACCTCTGCTTATCGTGTTTTATCAACAGCACTCTACCATCGACCCTATGTGGAATGTCCGCCACCTTGGTAAATAGAAGTAATTAACCAATGGCCTTAAGCTAAGAAGAAATTGGTATCTAAAGAATGGAGGACGGGCTATGTCTATTGTTTCCCTCAAGTTTTTTGCACAGTTTGGTATGGCATTTTGTGTCTGACCAGTACAATCATTTGGCTTTTTCTCTTCTCAAATGTAAGGTTCCAGTGCTGGAAATCGGTATTCGCCCCAATTTGTAAAGGCTGCCAAGTTACTCCATTGGAATGGACACTTTAAGCCATGGGGGAGAACTGCTTCATATACTGATGTTTGGGAAAAATGGTACATTCCAGATCCAACAGGCAAATTCAACCTAATCCGAAGATATATGGAGATCTCAAACATAAAATGACAAAGAACTTAAAAACTATAAGCATTTCTCAGGAAATCCTGGAAGACAGTATATGTGGGAAGTAACCATTGCTAGTCCTCAATGCCTATCTGTAGCATCCCAAGGAAAAGATGTTTTTGCTGGATTAAGATGACAGACTTCCCTGTCTGGCAGTCAGCTTCTAAGATAAACTATATGCCTCCATCTGCCTTACCAAGAGTTTTCGTACTACAAAGCTGAATGACCAGAAGAAATGGACTGATATGGCTAGTTCAAAACTGCTGTTAGTTTTAATTTTGTACTCTGTGACCTGACTGTAAGTAAAAACTACATCTTTTAATAGGTATGTGTTTTTTGTTTTTTGCTTCCAGATAACTACTTCCACTCATTGTACTATGACAGGAATTGAGTCCTTTTTTACAGAGGTTAGACATTCCAAATTGCCTCATTGTTTTAATGAATACAATTTACAAAGTTTACACAGCTTATGTTGTACCATAACACATCATACACACAGAACAATTTAGCAGTCAGGAATCCCTAATAATAAGGGCATAGTTCTGTTACACATAGTCAGTACTGAAGTCATAAGCATCATCCTCTTGAGTTATTTTATCTGAGACAGAAGTTCTTGCAGACTGTTCACCTGTGTTACAGGAAAATAAAGTGGGATTTTATTTTTAATTTTTTGAGTTGGACTTCACTCTGTGACCCAAGCTGGAGTGCAGTGGCACACTCAGCCACCGCAGCCTTAACCTGCTGGGCTCAGTGATCTTTCCAGCTCAGCCTTCCAAGTAGCTGGAATCACAGGCATGTGCCACAATGCTGCCAAGTTTCTTCTGGTTTATTGTAGAGATGAGCTGTCACCATGTTGCTCAGGCTGGTTTTGAACTCCTGGGCTCGGACAATCATCTCACCTCTGCCTCCCAAAGTGTTACAATTACAGGTGTAAGCCACCACACCCAGCTGAGATTTATAATGCTACTTGGTTAGAAGAACCTGTTTGCCCCAGACTCACCTGCTATAGACTCCTCAGGCAGTGCCTCCCACGTCTCTTTTACAGGAGACATGTCTGAACCCTTTTCCTGTGGGATAAAAAAAAAATGGTGCTGGATTAGTAGTCCTTGTCCAGTCATCAATCCAAGTAATTATGTATCTGGAAAAATTAAATCTTTGAAAGTACATGTAATGAGATGTCCAAAATTAAGACTAATGATCACAAGCCTCAAATACTTAAATTTTATGGGACTGCTTCTTTCAGATGATTGTAAATTATTTAATTTCTGCCTTCAACCCCTTCCCATTCGTTGTACATTATAATGCTAGAAAATGCCCTTCAGCTTTAAACAGCTCAGGGAGAACAACTCACATCAGCTTCTTCATCGTCAATTTCCTGGTCGTCGTCATCCTTCCCTTCTTCCTGCTTCCTCTTTTTCTGTTTTGGCAATTCTTCAGGTATGTCCTTTCCCTCTATTACTCCATTTGTCAGACCAGAAGAATGGAAAAGGATGCTACTGGCCAAATGAGGGCCCCTGAGGACTAGGAAAGGAAGAAAGCCCATGTAAACAGGTAAGACATATATTAGCCGGTCTTTCTGCTGATGGAGGCAGCAGCGCAACACAAATCTCACCCTTTATGCTGTGTGCATTGTTCTTTTCCAGTTCTTCCAGATCAAAGCCACATTTCATGTCTGCCACAGTACTCTCATTAAAATGTGGTGGTGGAGTCCAGGATGTAGGGGGATGGCAGTAATAACTTAGTGAAGCACTGACATTAAAAACAAGATTTGTCAAAAATCAGTTCCTTTTATCCTGTGATCACTGGAAGACCAATAGAAAAGAAGCCTTACCCTATCCACTCAGACCACAGCAGTTTAGCAGCACCTTCAACATTTGGGATTCCACCTTTTTGGTGCAGACCTCTTCTCTTAGCAAGCATAGTAAAAAATTCTAGAGAATTCTTATAATCTGGGACAGTATATTTCAGTACTACCTTTAAAAACAAAATAAGAGCTGTCACTCATCAATGCAGATTTTTTTTTGACTGGAAAATATAGTTTATTTAGAAAGTAAATTAGAGACAGAATAGAGAGGAGATTCACCTCCCAAAGGTAGGGGAGGGGGCCAAACCTAGGAACATGGTGGCCATAGCTCAAAGAGCCATGTAGCCAGACCATAGCTTAGCAAAAAAATGGCCCAGATTTTTTTTTTTGAGTTGGAGTCTCACTCTGTTGCCCCGACTGGAGTGCAGTGGCACGCTCCCGGCCACCGCAGCCTCAACCTGCTGGGCTCTGGTGATCCTTCCGCCTCAGCCTTCCAAGTAGCTGGAACTACAGGCGTGCGCTACCACGCCCGGCTAATTTTTTTTGATTTATTGTAGAGATGAGGTCTCGCCAAGTTGCCCAGGTGGGTCTTGAACCCGCGGACTTGGGCAATTCACTCACCTCGGCCTCCCAAAGCGTGGGATTACAGGCTGAGCCACCAAGCCCAGCCAGATTTTTTTAAAACTACATTTTTCTACTTGAAATGCTTATAATAAAAGAAAAAATGGTGGTGAGGAGCTCAAGGGAAAGGATTATTTTACTTGTCGAGCATCAGCCTGGGACAGGATGGCACTGGCAGCCTCCATTGGTTTTACTGCTTCAATACTTGCTGGAGTTCGCAGGGCAAGTGCAGTGGAGGAGTTAAATGGAGACACGATGAAGCTTGGACTATCTATGATCGTGATGTGTTTGTCCAAGGGGACAACTTGCATGCTCCTGAAAGACAGACATACTTGATGAAGGCACTGGGTTATCTGGAAGGCACAAGACAGAACATGAAGCTCAGGGTTGGATTGAACAAACTCAGCACAGTCAGTCAGATCCAGTTTATCATCATTTGCTTCATGTACCTAAAACCCTAAGAGCATACCCACTCCTCCTAAAGAGAAACATTACTTGTTATAGCTTATACACTAACCCTAATATTTTGAAATAAATGTCTTCTTTCTTGGTAAACTTCTATTCATTTCTCAAGGCCAGGTTTAAACATCACTTCCTCAGGCAGCTTTTCCTCTCTCTGAATCCATCTGTCTTTCAAACTAAATTGGGGGCAGCTGTCCCACTCTTGTCAATTCTTCCCCAAGCCTAGCACTGGCTTAACCCTCTTTCCTTCACTGTCAGCTTTAAAAAGAGAAAACTGCCTTCCTCAAGATAACCACAATAAAATATTTACTCATCTATAATATTCTAATTACGGAACAGCTCAGTTTACCTTGTAAGCCCCATGGATACACCAACATTACATATTTGTTCTTGTTTTAAGCTATTGATGATGCTGCTTTTCCCCACATTTGGGAAACCTACAAATAAGTGAGAAATCCACATATATAAAGAAAGCATTATGTACTGGTATTTACAATTTTCACTGTCTAGTTTTACATTTGCCTGATGTTTAGAGCAAGATCAGAGTTGGATCTGAATGTCTTCACTTCAACACTAAGACCAATCATAGTTTCTTAATTTCTTGCACAAGAGCAGCAAAAACTATTAATTCAAACAAGCCAAGAGCTTTTAGAAATCAACTTCTTACAGTGCTCAGTCCCAACAAGGCACTGAATCTGGCACCAATTCTTTTTTGTAGGAGGGTGAGAAAGTAGGATTTACTGAGAAGACAGAAAAGATCCCAGTGAGAGGGGACCTGAGGGGGCTGCCGGTTGCCCATGAAATCTACAATGTCTTTTTTTTTTTGAGTTGGAATCTCACTCTGTCGCCAATGCTGGAGTGCAGCAACACACTCACCTCACAGCTACCCCAGCGTCAATCCGCTGGGCTCCGGTGATCCTTCCGCCTCAGCCTTCCAAGTAGCTGGAAGTATAGGTGTGTGCTACCATGCCCAGCTAATTTTTTATTTATTGTAAAGAGAAGGTCTTGCCAAGTTGCCGCGGCTGGTCTCGAACCCATGGACGCAGGCAGTCCATTCACCTTGGCATCCCAGAGTGCTGGGATTACAGGCTGAGCCACCGAACCTGGCCTAATTCTTTATTTTAATTGTGTGTGGCTGTGTTTTTGGTAAGGTGGGCAAGAAGCTGATATTTGAGTGAGCCCTTTGACAACAACCCCATACATTGATACTTAACATGGAAAAATTCTTGGTTAAGTATGTTGACACTTAAGAGGTAAGTATAAGGAGATGAACTGAAACTTACCAATTACTCCAACCTGAATGGTTTTGCCACAAGTCTCCTGAAAACCTCCAAGAAGCTTCAAAAGGCCTTCTCTCCCAAAAGAGACTTTACTTTTGAAGGGAGCAGACTTCTTTACCTTCATGTGTTAATATTCCAAATAAATTATTTTGACAACTCACTTGATAAAACCCCAAGCAACTTGGCCCCAAAGCCCAGTACTTAAAAATCACTATACTGCTTTTCAGATGACTTCCAGATGAAATCAGAGTTGGATCTTGTAACTTTTCATTTTTTAATCAAGATTTTATACACTCATCATATTTCAACCATCCAGAGTCTAAAAGAACTACATTTCCCACCTCCAACAATAATGGGTACCTTAGTTACTCTCCCTTTGCCCTTCAGATTTGTTGAGGCTCTGAACACCACTGTTGGCAATTCTTTCTTCAAATAATTTAGCCAGCTCTCCAGATTCTCCTTTGGCACCAGATCTGATAGGAATAAGAATCAAGATACATGGCCAAACTGGTCATTTGAGGTGCATTAGCAAAATGTGGCTAACTATATAGATTTTACTATGGTTTGCCTTTTCCCAGTTTTTTCCCCAAAAAATTTAACTAGGAAATTAGGGGAGTGTAAGCTCTGCTACCAAGTTGCACTCATGTTAACAGAGCTCAATATCTACATGTCTGTATTTCAATTCTCTCTGCATTTCTCACCCTTTCAGGGCAAACTTAACCTCTGAATTATAAACCTACCAAACCTAGAGCTATTGTTTCCAAAACTTACTCTTAGCTAGCAGCTGTTTCCTATTCCCAATAATAATTTTGGATCCTGCTCCCACTTTCTGTTTTGTAAGTCTCTGTTCTGAGTCTTCCTGTTCCTGTTGCTCAAACCCAGATACATAATAACCATGCATTTCATTTAAATATCTTGTCACATACATTCCAATTTATCTCACTCCTGAGCTAATACACAACAATGTGTAGGCGTAGGGGATCTGGCACTGTTATCACTTCCTAGATGAAATATACTATACAGTAAGCTGGGCTTAGAAACTTATACTCCTAAATAAGAAAAGGTGGTAAGTACTAAATGGCAAAAGAACAGTAGAAACCAGTTGAATCACTTAAAAATCACCTCCTCCCCACTGCCCAGCACTATCTTTGGCAAACAGGGTAAACATACTCTGGTTTTGCTGAGGTCAGAGTTGGATCTTATCAGTCTTCAGTGATAATCAGACTGTTCAGATATTTTCCTCATACCTCATCAGTACACATGGAAGACAAAAGGCACCCCCTCTTGCTCACCTGATTTATTTAATACAAGCACCAGCTTTTTCTGTCCACTCTGGACAATGGCCTCTTCTACCTGAGGACACCTGTAACCAAGAGGATCTCTGGCATCCAACACCTCTAGCACAACATCTGATGCTTCAATCACCTATCAAGGAAGAAATAAGAACTGCATCCCTTGCTCTGGTAACACCTTCAACATGAGTGTACTGGCATCATCCATTTGGCAACATGGTAAGCTCAGAATTGGATGTCATGTCTTCAACTTAGTATGAAGAAACTGACATTCTCATTATTTCTCATACAGGAAAGGAAAATACAGGCTTGTTCAGCAGCCTCTGATCAATATGGAATTCAAAAGTGGAAATGTCCCAACTGTCTGAATATATAATCCTCCCACCATGATTTATGTAGTGTGATAGACCCTTTTGGCTTTGCCTAGAGCTGCTAAGAGGCAGATGGGTTCTATCCATGGAAATGAGCTTGGGAAAACAGGTGTAGGGATGGGAGTGCTGGGAAGCAACTATACCAAGACAACACCAACCTCCTGACCTTCACTTAGGTTTCAACAGAGTACTTTAAAGACCCTCATTGCTTACTCTAAAGTACTTTCCTCAATCTTAAAACACTGTTATTGTCAACATGTTTTTTCCCCCCACAATGTCTACTTTTAAAACAAAAAAAACTTCTGTCAGCTAAACATAACAGGAAAGGCCTTGAACAGGATAAGCCAAGTAGCTAAAGGATTCTTCCAGCTCATGTAAACCCTACTTCTACCTATATAAGGCTGGTGTCAAGTAAAGGAATAATTTGAGTCTTTTAAACCTCATTACCACTTTTAGACACGGACCTAGGCTAAGATACCTTTTTAAGTTCTTGACAATACAACTTCTTCAAATTCTGCTTGCTGGATTTGGTTTTGTTTTTAGTTTTGTAATGTTCAAATTCCTAAAAGATAAAGACACAAAATTAGAAGTACAGCAATTGTATCTATTTTCCACTCCTGATTAGTGGTACTGCAGTTAATATTTTAAATGGGTAAGAAAAACGAGTCTTCTTCCTAAGAAACTCGACAGCTCCTGTCTTGTGTATGCACTTTTATTGCTGCATCAGAATTCATCCCTCGTTTACAAAGAGACCTAGTCATACCTCAGTCACAGGCTCCGCATTAGATAGGTTAACATCAGGGTTAGTTTCAAGTTTTCTTTTCTTTTCTTGTTCCTTCTGCCTGTCAAGTTTTTGCTGCTGTTTTAGTTCTTCAAGCTATGTAAAAGCCGCAAGAGAAATAGATGAGCCAGTGACTAGTATTATCTTACTCTGAAAAAAACACATTTATACTACACCACTCACTGAAAGTTTCAGCTAACATAACTTACCCGCTGTTTCCTTAGCTCAGCTTCTCGAAGAAGAGCTTCCTTAAAGGGAGCACTGTTTGGAACTCCTGGGTCTTTCCTAGGCTTCTTTTGACCCCGTTTTTTAGCCTCCTTCCTCAATTTTCGATGGTGCTCTCGAACCTATTATGATAAAGAAATGTTATCAGTTTACAAAAATACCTTTCTACTTAAGCAGAACTCAAGTAAGAAACCAATCTGGTCGCAGTTATGCCTACACAAAGCCCTAGGGAAATGGAGCTTTAACTGCAATCATACAGAGAGCAGGAATATGCATGTATAAAACATGTTATTACAAGGCTATCTTTGCACTTGGAGGCATCTCACAGATCACCTACCAGCAACTTGACTAAATTTTTTTATGAGTGAAAAATGAATCATGTTAATCAGTATAGCATTGGAACCAATTATTTTATTGTAGTGATATTTGGCTTATAATAAAACTTTGAACATTGAGGAATATTTATGACAAATCAAAAATTTGATCTCATATATTTTTTTAACATGTGAAATAGTTACCAACATGCATTGCAGGTTCATTGATACATGTTGTGCAACAGTAATTTGTTTGACACCTTCCACCTGGTGTTTTTCTATTCCAGCAGACAATGCAGCCTTTTTTTCCCCCTCCCACATTAATAATATGTAATTTATTGTCCAGTCTGTTTGAAAATGTGGAAGGATGTACCCGTAATTCCTGAAAACCACTTCTCAACTGATAGATCATATCTCAGTATACATTCCATCTCTTTACTTGCTTTTTTGTGCAATCTGAATGGAAAACGTCAAGGAAACATAGATTTTTGAAAAATCTGTGCTTGCATAAATTTGTTCTGTATAATTACCAGCAATCTCTATATCCTCTGAGAGGGACATCCAAGTGCAAAGGGTTAATGTTGAGCAAACTTTACAGACCTTCTTATCACCAAATTATTGTCCTTTCCCACAGCTGCACTCCTGACACCTAAGAGTCTGTGCCATGGTCAATCTATCCAATCCTATTTCCCAAGATAAAATCACATTAATCCAGTTTCCTACCAAGGAGAGTAGGGCAGAAATCAGTTTAGTAATATATTTGGTATAGCTCTCCCAAGGACACCACTTACCTTTTTTAGTATTTTATATCGCTTATGGCAGGTCATGCGTTTACTTGCTTTCTTTAACTCTACAAAAACAAAAACCACAAAATGGACTAGTTTTTGGTGAACGCACTATGGAGTCACGTTCTTTTTTGTGTTACTGTCAAATCTAATGTGAAGAATCATGTGGGATGCTTAATACAAACATACGCGCTACTCTCAAATCCCAGATAATTTGATTCACTAAATTTCATAACATAGTTTCCCGCGACCACTCTTCCAATAATTGAATGGAATCACACACAGGTGCATATGAGACCCAAAACTATAGCCACTTACTGTCAAGTACCACGGTTCATAACGCAGGCGAGAAACCGTGGGTTTGGGTGGCAGTTCTCACCCGAGCCAGTCTGCACATGGTCGCAGAAGGGAAATGCTGGGCCAGAAACCTAGCTCAAACGCAGTTTCCTCACGAAAATCTAACCTAGTCTTCTTCAACCTCGGCCCAGCCTTCCCTTTGGATAGTGAGTACACGGTTGACAGGATCGGCATAGGGCCTTCCAACTCTCGGTTCTACGAGGGAACAAGGCGACGGCCTATGCGTAGGCTCCCATCCCTACCCCAGCAGAGACCAAGCTGCAGAAGAGAGCCCTGGCGGGTTCACCAACCATCAGAGGCAGGGGGCCCTCCATGCCCACCTCCCGACCCCACTCACTCGGCCGCTTCATGCTAGCTGTGGGAACCGCAGTACCAGCAGGAACAGCGACGAAACGGTACCTCCGCAGACGCCACGTGAGAACTGAGACCACTTGCCCAGCGTCACGCACTTACGCTTCCGCCGTAAAGTGTGCTGCCGCCCCTTCGCGTGCGCGCGCAAAATGTCGCGCTGAGTCGGGATTACTTGGCGGCCGCAGGGCTGGTTTTGCGGCGGCACCAGGAGGGGTGAGGG